GTCAGAGCCCCACTTCTGCCTGGGCCTGTGACTCGGAAGCCACCTAGTCAAGGGCGGGTGGAGGCCCTGATCCGAGCTGAGTTCCCACCCCAGATCTCCCCGGGCTCCTGCCTTTCCTCAGGTCCAGTCTCCGTGGTTTACCCGGCTTGGTCTTGGCGTCCTGAAAAGGTATGGGCTCTAGGCGCCCCAGCCTTTGCTTGGGCGCCCTCAGTCCCCTGGGCCCTCTGGGCCCATCCCGTCCCCTCCCGGGGCAGGTTCTCACAGAGAGCCGGCCTTCCCTGCAGCTGGCTTAGCTGAGAGGGCGGTGAGAGTCGCGTCAGCAGTTTGGAGGAGAAAGTGCGGGTTGATTATTGACCCACGCCGCCTTTCTTCAAATGCCATATCCGACTCTCGGGTTTGAAGAGAAAATGCCGCGGAGCGGATTTTTGCGGCTGACTCTCACCTCCTACGCGGCTAGCTCCAGCTTTCAAGTTGTGCCGCTGCAATATGCCATAAGGAGCAAGTGTTTGCTGTTTTGTGCTCTGTTTACAGCTTTGGGGCGCCGAGTCATAAATCTTGCCTGGCCATAAATGACAAAAACCATTGGTATGCATGAGGCCACCCTGGCCCAGAGTGCTTTTTGATTTCTCCCTTTCCCCTGGCTTTGTTTTTGCTCTAAGGTGACACTTTGGCTCCCTGACAGTTTAAACATACTACTTATATTTTTAACACCTTCCTTTGAGAAGGACCGGGCCATTGACGCCTTGGAATTGCAGGAAAGCTCCATTTCTCTCTTTTTGCCACACTCATACATGTTGCAGAGTTTGCTTCTGAACCTATAGAGCTCAGGGAAGACTTGGGAGGAATACCATCCTTTTTAAAGTTATGACAATATTACCAGGCAAACTCGTGCCTTTTCTCAGCTCTCAGTTCAGTAAAGGAAGACCACTTTACTAACGCGGGTGTTGGGGAGAGACATATCATGCATGTCCATTTGTGCTGGGATCAGTTTTATCTGCCTTCCCTGTAGGTGAGCTTCGTGTCTGTACTATTCAGTGGGCAACTGGAGAGCTGCTAGGCACCCTTGCTTGTGCTTGAGCCCAGACACTCATTTCACCCCTGGGTCAAATGTGCCTCTCCCCCAGGACACTTCCCTCCTGCCTACCAAAATGCCAAGAGTTTCTGCTTAAAAATATCACCAAAGAGACCGGTTGGCTCTTGAGAAGGTCTCTGGAGAAAGGCCCTATCCCAGCACCCTGAGGATTGGCTTTGGGGTGCCTGGATCAGGAATGGCAGGTGAAGTAAACTCCCAAACTCTGGGGAACTCATTTCTGGTTCTCTCTTTACCTTTACCCCCACCCCTAACTGGAATTGACTAGGGGAGAGGGTTGTGTGGTTTCTCAAACGGATTCTTAAGAAATAGAGCCCAGCAAGAGAGCCCCTTTGTGAGAGCCGTTCGTCCTCATTAGCATAATTTTCCTGGACTTTAGTGACGCCTAGGAGCGAGGAGAGGGAGGGGTGGGGGGAGGCTGCCCTCCTCCCGCCGCCGCAGAGCTCCCTCTCGCTCCTATCCCTCCCCTCGCCTCAGCCCCATCCCCCACGCCGGCCCGCGCTTCCCCTGCCGCCTCGGTCTTCCCTCCCGCCCGCCCCCAGCACCCCCACCGCACCCCCGACCAGACGTTGCTCCGCGTGTAATATTCATAAGAAACATACCCAAGTCGGTGCCACTAGCCCAGGCAGAGCCCGGCGCTGCGCTAGCGCTTATCTCCTGGCCGCGGCTGCTGCCCTCAGAAAGGGCAGGGGGCGGGGGTTGTGGGGGAGGGGTGGGCGGGTGGGGTGGGTGGGAGGGGGGTCCAAGCCGCCCCAGTCCGCCCTGGGCGAGCCGTGCCGGAGCAGCAAGGCGACCACGCTGTGTGCGGCGGCGTCCGGGCCTTGGGGTCTCCAGCCCGCCCGCCGTCTCGGCTGATGCTGAGGGTCGGTGCCCATCCCGCGCGAGGGGACCCGGCGGGGCAGCGGAGCCGGGCTGGGGGCTGGAGCCCGAGCCTGCGCTCGCGGCGCTCTTCAGAAGTTAAGGTAAGCAGGGGCACAACCGGCCGCTCTGAGCGCTGAATGGCGGAGTTTACGTCTCGGTGATTTATAGCTGCAGACTTAAATCTCGGTTCAAGAAGAGTTCACAAGCCGGAGCTTCCTTCCCGGCAGTGACTGATACCCTTACACTTTGAGTTCAGGCCGCTTTCCCATCCCCGCCCCCACTCACCCCTCTCCCCTCATCTCGGCCTCAACTTTTCTGGGTCCGGAAGGGAGCTAGGGGGCAAGGGATGCAGGGGCTCTTTCTCGATGATCTTGTTCAAACTCGGGGTGAAAGCAGACTAAGAAAGGGACTGGAGTGGAAAGAGGGGGCAGTATCTAGAGGAAGGAGGTCGAATTTGGGCATACCTTGCAGAGAGACAATAGCTCTTGTTGCCTGCACTCGATTTAGCCTCCTTCAGCTCCTGCACCTGGGGGTTATTGTCCAGAAACAGATCTTTGCAGAAGAAACTCCCTTCACTCCCAATCCTTGCTTGGGGGGTACAAAGCAAAGTTTCCTGGCTGGCAAATCTCCAACTTCTTTACTAGGTTGGAAACTTTGGGGGCTGAGTTGTGGGAGAATTGTGTGAGGTCCAAGGTGATTGCGGACCTCAAACAATAGGAAGGACTTTGGTGGGATCTTGGTGTTGAATGCATATTTTAAGTTTATGGGGGCTGTCCTATGCTCTTTGATTTTTTAAAAGGTATTTTCGTTATTTTACAAGACAATGCACAACTTGATGAAAAGGCTTAAGTAAGCCGCAGGCCCCTGATAATGGATTAGCAAGTCACTAGAAACATTGCAGGTTCAAAATTAACTTAATTTTGTTTTATCTAATATCTTGCTGTTCAAGTGTCTAGAATAATTTCTTGACCTGACGTTTTTACACAAGTCTAGTATCTAAAAAATTTTCTAATGCCAGACATTAACACTGTCAAATGTAATAGAAACTGTTTTCAGCGAAAGAACAAGAAACCAAGACAGTAAATTGCTATTCAGTTTTAAATTTTACTTTATCCTTTATTTGCTTTCCACCATGGTGTCTGTACCTGCTTATCTATTTCCAAAAGAGTAACAGTACTCCAGGGCTCATGATTATGCACAGTAACTCCGGATAAGTGATGCTTTAATTTTTAATTGAGGTTCTGGAAAATTAATTGTGCCTGTTTTCCAGATGTTGGTCAGATTGTTGGTTTAATAATGAAATCTAAAGGAGTCCATTATTAAAAACAAAATTATAATCATCCACTGGTAGATGCTTATTAAATTATTTTTTTCTAGTTAACATCTGCTATCCCTGGAAAACTTGAATAATTCTGGGATTTAATATACATAGTTGGGGCATGAAGTGTATACCATTTTCTTAAAGAATTATCATTACAATGTTAATAGAGGGACTTACATTTTGAATGTGTGATGTGTGTGAATATATGCAACTCATATGGAACTTTTCTTGTTGAGGTTAAGCATGCAAAGGTTGAAAACAAAGAGTAAATGTAGATTTCATTTCTGCAAACTAAATTAAAAAGGGTTAAGGTTTTCACTTGCTTTTCAGATTGTTGTTACTCCTCACCTTTTCTTTTCTTTTCTTTCCTGGTGGTGCTGGAGATCAGGGACTCTTGCAAGATAGGCAAGTGCTCTACCACTGAGCTACATTCCCAGACTTTAGTGTTATCCTTTACTTGGTGTTTCTGAATCAGGTAAATAGACCAAATAACAAATATCAACAACAGCAGCACACAAAGATCAGGGAACTCTGGCAGGATTTTATAGCTTGTGCTTCCATGCCTCGTCCAGAGCCAAATGACCCCCATACATCAAATTACATAGCAGTTCCTAAGACAGAACCTATTATCGTTAAGTTGGAAAGAGAGTTCAAGCCGTGGTCATGGAGATGAACGCTGGTTTTTCAGGTTCCTGGTGGGCTGTTTTTTTCTCTAATCCATCATGTTTTAACAGGTAGAATTTGATCATTGCTCTGAATAACAGCACCTCAGAAAATCCAAGACAGGGGGATCTGGGAACTTGTAACTGGGGAAAGGAGGTGGGGGTGACTTGCTGCAAAGTGCCTGAGAAGTAGCAGAGGAAAAGAGTAAAGAACTGTCCATGATTTGAGTTGTGACTTGCTGGATAGGATGATGTTGTTGGTCCCTTCCTAACATACACACAGACCTGTGTTCCACCCAAACTTTTATCTCTGGGCTTCTTAGCCACAGGAGCTCATTTAGAGGAGGTGGGTCCTATCCCTGAACAAAGGTAGATTAACTGCCTAAAAAGCTCAGCTTCTGAAATCCAGCCTGGTCAGATAAGGCAATTGCTTACTTTTTTTTTTTTTTTGTATGTGTGTGTGTGTGTGTGTGTGTGTGTGTGTGTGCAGAAACCTCTCTTGAGGACAGGAAGATCCAAGCAGGGGCTGGATGAGGAATAACCACATCTTATGGCTCTTTTTGGCAAGTGTCAGTACTAAAGTGGGGATTCCAGGAAAAAGCGGGAAGACCCCCAAGCTCCCCTTTGCCTTCTGGCTGGTTCTCCAAGATCCAGACAGGGGAGAGGCTTGGGGTCTCTGGTTGATAGTAAAGGGACAGAGATGAAGGGGCACCCACGTTTCTTTCCCCCCCATCCAAAAGAAAGATTCCAGTCTTGTTCTTTCCAGCCTACCAGGCCTTTCTTGTTTTGGACCTCGGCTCCAGAGACTCAGCTTCCAGCCTCAGTCATTCTCCTTTCTCTCCCCGGAAAATCCCCCAACTCCAGACGCAAGTTAAGCAAATATTTGTAGCTGCCAGTAAATTCCAGCGGCTTTTTATAATGCGGCTCCCTGCGCCCGGGGCCAAGTCGTGCTGCTAAATATTGCTGACCACTTTTTCTTTTATGGCTTTCATGTCACTTAGCTATTGAGAGTAAGATGGATTTGCGCGGAGCCCTCACCGCGCTGCGCTTCTCGCCCCCCTCGCAGGTCTGCGGCAAGCGGCCATTGGCGGCGGAGCGTCACGTGACCTCGGGGGCGTGCCAATGTGCGCCCTTACGGGTGTCAAGCCCCTGTCAGAGTGTGCGATCAAGATTGTGAGACAACGCGATGCAAAAAGCGACCTACTACGACAGCGCGATCTACGGTGGCTACCCCTACCAGGCAGCCAACGGTTTCGCTTATAATGCCAGTCAGCAGCCATATGCGGCATCCGCTGCTCTGGGCTCTGATGGCGAGTATCACAGACCTGCTTGCTCACTCCAGTCTCCCGCCAGCGCAGGGGGCCATCCAAAGGCGCATGAACTGAGCGAAGCGTGCCTGCGCACCTTGAGCGGCCAGTCCAGCCAGCCCCCAGGCCTGGGTGACCCGGCTCTGCCCCCACCGCCACCCCAGGTTGCACCCCCTGCCCCACAGCCACCCCAGCCCCCACCGCAGCCCCCTGCACCCACCCCTGCGGCTCCCCCGCCCCCTTCTTCTGTCTCCCCTCCTCAGAATGCCAACGGCAACCCCACCCCTGCCAGCGCAGCCAAGAGCCCCCTGCTCAACTCGCCCACCGTGGCCAAACAAATCTTCCCTTGGATGAAAGAGTCGAGGCAAAACACAAAGCAGAAAACCAGCGGCTCCAGCTCAGGTAAAGGGGTGCTTTCTGRAGGAGGCTCCAAGCCACTTCCAGCCACAGCCAGCAGAGTGTAGAACATTTCCAGAAATCCACTGCTCCCACTCTCCTTCCTTCCCACCTCAAAGTTTTCCAGAATCTTGGCAATTTAAGGAGGTGATAAGGCCTCTGTGTACCAGGAACCCCCAGACACAGACCTGATGGGAGTCTCTCTGGACCTCCCCAAGAGCAAGTGGAGACTAATGAAGTTGGAATCCCTCCATTTCATTTTTGGAGTTCTGATCTCTAGGCAGAACCATCCTCAGCTTCACTGTTTCTCTTTTAGCACAGCTCCTGTATTCTAATGAAACAGTGACATCCTCCTCATATTGAAATGTGGCAGAATAAAAGCAGGCCTAGTCACCCTCCAAGTCAGATTCAATGCTTTGTCTATGATTAGAGCCATTTTTGCTCCAGCAGATGGAGTGGCTACCTCACCTCTGGGAAGGCTTTGCTCAGACTTAGTTACAATGAAGGCAGCCAGGGATTTCCTGGGGGAGGGGATTCAGCTTGTCATCTTAATGGAAACCACATGGGCCTCCTGGAACTGGAGTCCAATGGAGGAAAGGCCCCAGGCCTTGGGCTTCCTAGCATCTTGGCTACCTTTGCCCCTGCCCTCTCTAGTTGCCAGGGCTCTGCTCCAAGCCTGAGCATCTGGGGCCTCCAGAGCCAGGATTTGGGGGCCAAGGAGGACAGGAGGGCATAACACTTGTAGACAAAGCTCTTGTAGGCTGCTTAATGACATGGGGAGCTCTAATGGATAGGTCATCATGAGGGACCTGAGCCTCCCCACCAGAAATGGATAGCATCAAGGAGATCCTTTCTGGGCAGAAGCCTTTCAGTTTGGGATTTTCACTCTGCCCATCTCTGGATAGTTGGAGAATTGGCCAGTTGAATCTGCTGCCTCATCATTCAGTCAGCTAAGGAGGAAAAGAAGGTTTGGAAGTATACATTAGGTGTGCCAAACTTACTGGATACTGGAAAAGAATGATGGTGGTGAGACCTGCCCACAGGAAATCTTGTCTGATGGGCCTAGAGGACCAGTAAATGTGTCAGTGCCAGGAAGGAAATACAGACCAGGAAGGCTAAGTGGAGATTTCTCTCCACCTCAGTGGAGATTTCTGTCCACCTCCCTATTTGAAGAAACCTATAATTTGTTCCCTAGCTGAATGAGGGACTAACCACCTATACTGTTTCCCCCACCAGGAGAGAGGACAGCACCTAAATCCTATTCCTCTTGGGGCCCTAACAGATGGAGGGATCTTTGGGTCCTGGAGAAAGAGAGGCCAGGCTGGTTCAGGAGCTGGGCTGGGCCATATGCAGCCCCTGACGTGATCTTCCTCTCTCTGTCCTGGCAGGAGAGAGCTGCGCTGGTGACAAGAGCCCGCCTGGGCAGGCTTCATCCAAACGCGCACGAACAGCCTACACGAGTGCGCAGCTGGTGGAACTGGAAAAGGAGTTCCACTTCAACCGTTACCTGTGCCGGCCGCGCCGGGTGGAGATGGCCAACCTCCTGAACCTCACAGAACGCCAGATCAAGATCTGGTTCCAGAACCGCCGCATGAAATACAAGAAGGATCAGAAGGGCAAGGGCATGCTAACGTCWTCGGGAGGCCAATCTCCAAGTCGCAGCCCCGTGCCTCCTGGCGCTGGTGGCTATCTGAACTCTATGCATTCGCTGGTCAACAGTGTCCCATATGAGCCCCAGTCACCCCCACCCTTCTCCAAGCCCCCACAAGGCACCTATGGGCTGCCTCCCGCTTCCTACCCTGCACCCTTACCCAGCTGTGCCCCACCACCACCCCCACCCCCACAGAAACGCTATGCAGCGGCAGGGGCAAGCGCAGGGGGCACTCCTGATTATGACCCGCATGCTCATGGCCTGCAAGGCAACGGCAGCTATGGGACCCCACACTTACAGGGAAGCCCCGTCTTCGTGGGGGGCAGCTATGTGGAACCCATGAGCAACTCCGGGCCGGCACTCTTTGGCCTAACTCACCTCCCCCACGCCACCTCAGCTGCCATGGACTACGGGGCTGCTGGGCCGCTGGGCAGCGGTCACCACCACGCGCCAGGGCCAGGGGAGCCACACCCCACCTACACGGACCTTACCGCCCACCATCCTTCTCAGGGAAGAATTCAGGAAGCTCCCAAGCTCACCCACCTGTGATGGTGGGCTGGGGCTGCGTGCCGGGAGAGTCCCCCCCCACCACCACCTTTTTTCTTTCTTTCTTTCTTTCTTTCTTTCTTTCTTTCTTTCTTTCTTTCTTTCTTTCTTTCTTTCTTTCTTTCTTTCTTTCTTTCTTTCTTTCTTTCTTTCTTTCTTTCTTTCTTTCTTTCTTTCTTTCTTTTTTTTTTTCTTTTTTTTTTCCCTCCCTTTTCTCTCTCCTCCGCTCCCTTCCCCCCCCCCCCCCCCCGTTTTGTTTTCTTTGGTAATGCATTTTTATAGTTTATGTGACGTAGCAATTTTGGTTGCTGGAATGGCTGTCAGTATCAGTAGCGATATTTATCTCTTCCCGCCCCTCGCTTGGCCACTGGCCCTGCGCCCTTTACCTTCTCCACTCTTTGATCAGAAACAGGGTATATGAACAAATTTTCTAGTCGAGTTTTCAAATGTGAATTTGTTCGTACTTTATGGTTCCCGAGGGGGAGCGATTACTTTTTATTATTTTTTTTTAATTTTTAGTTTTTTAAATTGCACTTCTTGTAAAGAGCGAGAAAAAAAATCAAAGGCGCTTTGAAACAGGGGCTCCCTGTACAAGGATGACTTAAGTGTACGTCTTTCCGTGTGTGTATGCTGGTGAACAGTCAGATTTATTTATATTTTTTTTGCAAGCATTGAATATTCTAAGTTTTAAATATTATTTATCCCCATCCGTTCGTATTTATATTAAAGAAATTCTGTACCCTGATTGTTCAGAAGGTTTTCTTGGGCCTTTTGTTCAATGGTGTATTGGCGTACTTATAAAATTTTTATTTGAAAGGGAAATGTAATTCCTTGATAAAACGGTAATGATGCAATAAAACCAGAGAGGATCCAGCGTTTGAAAACAGTGATTTAGGTTTGTAACATCCGGCAAAACTGAACAACCAATCTGTAAACGCGAAAAATGCTAAGATTTGTTTTGAGAGTTCTACATTCCTTGCTGCTCACATTCTGAGAACAAAACAAAAAAAAATAAAGTTTTTATTCTGATTAACATCCGTGTTCAAAAGGGGTTCTTTGGCTGAAGATGGGTGTCTGCGTGGACTTCAGGCGGAAGCGAGCTGGCGGAGTAGGCCGCTACCGCCTACCCATCTCCTCGGGCTTGGGGCCTGGCCGGCGGCTCGCCTAAAAGCTCGGCGAATATTCCGGAAGGCAGTCTGGGTTCTTGGTGGCGGCAGATATGGAAAGGCTGTGTGGCGGACCTGCTGGGCTGCTTGGTTCCCAGCTGCCGCGGAGGCAGGCGGAGGGCGCAGGGCTGTGGAACGACCGGTTGTCAGAAACAAAGGCAGCCGGGCCCAGGCGCGGTGGGGGGCGCACAGGTGCCCCGCGGCCGCGCATAGGGAAAACTCAGGGCAGTCGTCCCGCGTTCTTCAGCTCCGGTCAAAGCGAACCAGCCGACGTCTTAACCCYGTGAATCACCAACCATGCAGAGGATGCAGAACTCTTTCCAAGAGCGTTCAGACTTATGGTCTCCTTTGCGGACGCTTCGCAGTCGTTTATCGCGCCAGAAGATGAACCATCTCTCCCGAAATCGCCTCGAAGAGCCAAGCAGATCTAAAGGGATTGAAACTCCCCCAGACCTCCAGAAGAAGAAAAAAAAAAAAAAAAAAAAAAGAGGGCTAAACTCAGGAGAATCTCCCTGATCCCTTCCTTGGACTGCCTGAATGCTAGAATCTGTTTCCTAGAGGAATTTAGCATTTGCCATTCTCTGGATTTATTTCCTCTCCTTCTTCCCTCCCAGCTTTCTTTTTATGGCCCCAGGGGGAGGGGGGGAGAGAAAGGAGATTGGTATCTTTCTAATAAAAATGCAATTGTATAAGTACTTCTTTCATTTGATGCTACAGGAGCTAAATATTACATTTCCACTCCTGCATTTAAGATAGAGCTGCCTACTGACTGGAAGAGGCAAAGACAGGCACAGTAAAAGAACATATTTCCATCTTCTGATTAAATAATTGCTCAGAGAAGGATCTAAATTCAAAAAATGCAAACCTCAGAGCTGCATTCCCGGTCATCATCATCCTCAAAACTGGGAGTAAAGAACCGCCTGCGTCTGGGGATCRGAAGTATCTGATGTAAGAAATAAGCCCCATCCTCTCTGGATTGTATCTCTCAGAGGCAGAAGTGAAAAATGTCGCCATTTTGTTTGCAATCCAAAATATCCATCATCATGGCCTTTATCATCCTCCCGGAGAAGTGCCCTCAGAGGATCCTTAGAAGTAGGCACTGGAGCCATTTCTGGGTACCTGTTAGGTCCCAAGGAACTGCTTTTAGGTAACCTTTTCTTCTTTTAAGAAAAAGAAAGTCTCGGAGGCTGCAAAGCCAGGCAGCTTCAGAGAGCTGGGTGTTTTTCTTACACCCAGAGGTGCTTTCTCCACATCTCTCCTGCAGCTCCTAATATATATGTTTTCTTTTCAAAGAGTTTGGTCTGTGGGGAAATGGTCTTGCTCCCCCTACCCCAACCTCCCTGGGGAAATATGATCAGACCTCAGAAATGCAGAGGCAAGAAAATCAGCCTTTGTGAGGATTGGAGGTTCCACCTTTTGGTTGTTCACGCTGAGCAGATACAGGAGTCTTCTTTTTAAGTAACTATTTTAGAGACATGTGTAAGTTACCTGGGAAAATAAGGAGCAGTATATACGGAGGAGGTGAAGGAGGAGGAGGAAGAGGAAGAGGAGGAGAAGGAGAGAAAGAGAATCGAAGAATATGGATATCCACCTAAGGATGAAAATCTTTCTGGGTTACCACCATTTGAACCATTTCTAAAAATCTACTCTAGCTGAGAGAGGAATGCTTTAGAAGCTTCTTCCTTCCCTCAGGGCAGAAATTGTAAAATGAGAATCTAATATGATTTTCCATATCTTGCCACTCTAAGGCATTCATTTTGGCTTTCAAAGAAAAATATTGATCTCATCCCCAGCTTTCTAGATATTCAAAGAAATTCTTATTAAAATATATCCTGAGTTAAAGTAATAGATTTGGGGACTATTTCAGTGTTGAGCAGCTTCAGAAAAGCATTTTCTTCCAGATGGTATTTGAATTAAGGGGGCTGAAACAGGCAGAAAGCTCTCACCCACGCAGCCCCTGACAAAGCCCAGCTATATAGAGGCAGTGCTGCTTCCTCTATGCATCTCCCCTCCCCTTCCCTCAAAATTTTCTGATAAAAGCAAATGCCAAAAGCCACCATCACCAAATCCACAAAGCACCTTTCCTAAAAGCAACCCTAGAACCCTTCCACTGCCAAAAAATATCTTTAAAAAGACTAGTTTTCCTTGTTTACTTGCGTTTCCTGCTCTCCTCTTTGCTCGGCCACATTTGATCTTGGAAAGAGCTTGAAGCTGAAATGTGTTCTTAAGGGCCAGAAGCTGTCAAGGCTTTTGGTGAGCAAGATTGATCGTGCCCAGACTTCCTTCAGAGCTTTGTTTGGAATAAAAGCAAGAAAACTGAAAAACCTCACATTTTCCAAAATAGCATCTCTATCTGTAATGCAATGCCTCTTGGCTAGTCGAGGTTGGAGGCCACTTTAATATCTCATTTCCAACCCAAACCCCCTCTGATGCTGGCCTCAGAGACAGAGTTCTGCCCTCGCTCCTTGGTCAGCCTTTCTTGTTTTCTACGAAGATTTTTCTCCCCCACTAACCTCTCTCTCCTTGGCCATCAGAATGATTTATTTTCCTGCCACTGATGCCTGCCGGCCTAGGGGAGTCTGATCACTTGGTCCATTTCAAAGAAAGCAAAAGCAATCACCATCCTCAGGGTTGGGGGGGGGGGAAGAAGTACCTTCAGACCTCTCTCTCTCTTCTCTCTCTCTGCCTCATGCCCTCTTTTTGGCTTGGTGGGCTTTTTTTTTTTTTTAAGTTGTCATTTGGTACCTAAAGGTGTTATCTTTTCAACCCCCCAGTACTGTCCAAGACACACAGTTTCAAGTCCTGGAATTGAAAAAGAGAGACAAGGAAGGAGAAGGAAAACCTGTATAATCCCTCCTTGGGACACCCCGTCTTTCCCACAGTGCTCTTTCCCACAACAGAACCCCGGGTGCAAACCTCCCTGGTGTCCAAGGAGCAGGAAGGTGTGGGAAGCAATTCAGGCTGCCAAGGAACACTCCTACATCTGAACCAACCAGCCCCCAACCAGAGCGACAAGGACAAGGAAAGAAGGGTAGGGAGAAAGAGAGAGTGAGGAACAAACGTCTTCTCCCTCGCTTCTGGTAACTTCCAACAGACTTCCTGGAAATCGGAAATACTCACCGCACCCGAGCCATAAGGGTATGAAACCCAGAATGCCAGAAGCCGAACTCGCCAGCTCGGGGCGGCATTTCTTTGGCTGGCCGCCGCCCTGGCTACGGGGATTTGGACACATGGACCTGGGGTTGCTGTCTCGATTGGCACATGCATCTGTTTTCTCCAGCCACTCCTGAGAAGTTGATGGCGCAGGAAGGTCGGGAAGCTTCGAGAGCCGCCTCCCGTTTTCCGCTTCCCCCTGGAGCCAGATGCAAAGCTGAGGTGGAAAAGCCGGCTAACAATGGGGCCCGAGGGGCGCCGATTCCAGGCTGGACATTGAGAATGGGGCGAGGGACTGTGGGGTAGGGGGAGCGAACAGACAGCGAACAGACAGAAGAGAGAGTGGGAGGGGAAACTGGTGGAGAGAGAGAGAGAGAGAGAGAGAGAGAGAGAGAGAGAGAGAGAGAGAGAGATCAGTTCTGAGATCCAAGAACTGGTTTTTAGGAAAAGTAGAGGATAGGGAAATAAAAGGATTGCCCCCAAATCTTTCTTCTCTCTTTTCTGTCTTCTTTCTTTCTCTTTCTCTCTCTCCCTCTCTTCCTGTCCCTCCCACTGTTTTTCTTCTCCAYCTCCCAACTCTTCTTTCCCTCTGCTCTTTCCTCTGGTCTTAGCAGAACTTATGTGGCTGGGATGCGGGGGCCCTCGGGTGTCAAAACTTTGAAGATTAATGGATTACTTTGTTAATGACTGCAGGCGTCAGACTGAGGTGCTTAAATGATTTGTGAGGTGCGAGGCGTCTTCCCGACAGTCCCAAACAATGCGCGGAGTGTGCGGGGGAGGCAGAGGGCAGCCGCTGGCGGGACCCGCAGCAAGGCTCACACTCGCACTCACTCATACACTCAGACACACTCCCAGGCGCACACACCGATTCCTTGCTAAGCAGGAGTAAGGCAGGCACCCTGGTCGCGCACTCACTCTCGGGCATTCCCATCCACATCCACATATATATATTTTTGTCCTGAAAAAAGTGTAAATAAAGCCTCACTGGCCCCCAATGAGGCGTTCCTTCCCGACTTTTTTGGATCAATCAAACAGACAGTGGCTTCTTTTGATTAAAGCCCAAATTGTCATTGGGCAGAAGCAATCATGTGACAGCCAATTCGGTCCAATTTCAACCTTGTCTCCATGAATTCAATAGTTTAATAGTAGCGCGGTCCCCATACGGCTGTAATCAGTGAATTAGAAAAAAAACACCCCAGCAGCGATCTTCTATGATAGATTTTTTTTTCCTCCGCGCTCGCCTTTTTCCTGGGCCTCGCCCCCCCAAAGCCCCTCCAAAAGAGGGAACTTTTTCTCCGAGGGGGCTCCAAGGAGAAGGCCATGAATTACGAATTTGAGCGAGAGATTGGTTTTATCAATAGCCAGCCGTCGCTCGCTGAGTGCCTGACATCTTTTCCCCCTGTCGCTGATACATTTCAAAGTTCATCAATCAAGACCTCGACGCTTTCACACTCGACACTGATTCCTCCTCCTTTTGAGCAGACCATTCCCAGCCTGAACCCGGGCAGTCACCCTCGCCACGGCGCTGGCGGCCGCCCCAAGCCGAGCCCCGCGGGCAGTCGCGGCAGCCCGGTGCCCGCTGGCGCCTTGCAACCTCCCGAGTACCCCTGGATGAAGGAGAAGAAGGCGGCCAAGAAAACCGCGCTGCCGCCGGCTGCCGCCGCTGCCGCCACCACCACTGGCCCTGCCTGCCTCAGCCACAAAGGTCAGTCCCAAGACTTGGCCCCAGGTCCCCAGGACCCTGTTCCCCCTCCGGGCTGCCCCGAGAGCGGTTATGGGGGAGGGGAGCACGGGATAGCAGCGAAGGGGGAGAGGGACAGATGCCTGGTTGCCTTTCCTTGCCCCCTTGGGTTCAGGAATGGGTTTGATGGAGAGGAGAAGAGATCCTGTGCTCCACAATGAGACATATATTTTTAGGGAGGGAGGGGGAAACTTTCCCTAACTTGTGTAATGTGGGATGATTTATTTGAGTTGGAACTGACCTCCTCTTGTCTAGTTGTCCTAGAGTTTGGCTTTTTGACAGTAATGAAGAGTGATAGATCGCTCTTGCTCAGCTAAGCAGCTGATGCATTAATTATAAATTGTGTTGTGGCTAATATAAAGTTTGCTCCCGGATGAAGAGGTTGGGGGGAGCTACAGGCAGGAATTTGATAGAGGTGGAGGAGATGGGGTTTCCCGGGGCTGAGCTCCCAGGAAAGGCAGCACAATAGCTCTACTGCATCCAGGGCGGCCATTTTGTTGCAGTTGATCTTTTCTGCTGTATTTATTCTCCAGTGGAATAATCCCTCTTGGACCCCTCCACCTCCAACTGTGCGTGTGTCTCTTGTTGGTTTCCCTTTCCGCAGAATCCCTGGAAATCGCCGATGGCAGCGGCGGGGGATCGCGGCGCCTGAGAACTGCTTACACTAACACGCAGCTTTTAGAGCTGGAGAAAGAATTTCATTTCAACAAGTACCTTTGCAGACCCCGAAGGGTGGAGATTGCAGCGCTGCTGGATTTGACTGAGAGACAAGTGAAAGTGTGGTTTCAGAACCGGAGGATGAAGCACAAGAGACAGACCCAGTGCAAGGAAAACCAAAACAGTGAAGGGAAATTTAAAAGCCTTGAGGACTCAGAGAAAGTAGAGGAGGATGAAGAAGAGAAGTCGCTCTTTGAGCAAGCCCTCAGCGTCTCCGGGGCCCTTCTGGAGAGGGAAGGTTACACTTTTCAGCAAAATGCCCTCTCGCAACAGCAGGCTCCCAATGGACACAATGGCGACTCCCAAAGTTTCCCAGTTTCGCCTTTAACCAGCAATGAGAAAAATCTGAAACATTTTCAGCACCAGTCACCCACTGTTCCTAACTGCTTGTCAACAATGGGCCAGAACTGTGGAGCTGGCCTAAACAATGACAGTCCCGAGGCCCTCGAGGTCCCCTCTTTGCAGGACTTTAACGTTTTCTCCACAGATTCTTGCCTGCAGCTTTCAGATGCAGTCTCGCCCAGTTTGCCAGGTTCCCTCGACAGTCCTGTAGATATTTCAGCTGACAGCTTTGACTTTTTTACAGACACACTCACCACAATTGACTTGCAGCATCTGAATTACTAAAAACATTAAAGCAAAAACAAAGCATCACAAAACAACCCCCCCCACCAGGTGGTTTTGCCTTCTTTTATTCCGGGAGTTGATTTTTATTTTATTTTCTTCTTGACCTACCCCCTTACGCCTTTAAATGTTGAGCATTTTGTTTAGTGATTCCCTGATTCAGTTTCAGAGTCATCTCTTACAGATTACATTGGAGTTTTAGTTGTTTTAAACCTCACCTAACAACCATTTGTGTGGTTTTCCTGAAAGCAATATATGAGGCCTGCAAGAAAGTGATTAGAAATTGTATCATCACTTTCTTTTTATTTTTGTATTACATTAGGATGCATTGTCATGCGTATTTTTGGTAGAATAAATTCTCCTTTGCTATAAGTAGCTTTATTTTTTTCTCCCCCTCTTTCTCAAGGATCATAGTGGTTTCTTTTTTCTTCTTTTAGTCTAACTTGGTAAATAAAATTCTGGTCACAATTTATCTTCTTTTTCAATTTTAATATATTTATTAATGTGGCATGTTCAAAGTCTTCAATAGACCGCAACAAATACAGCCAGAAAATGGCTAGGGCTTCTGACAAGTACTTTTTGTTTTTAGGGTTTTTTTTTTTCCTTTCTTTTCTTTTTTCTTTTTTGGAAGGGAATGGATTTGGCTTTCAGTGTAGTGGCTCAAGCCATAAATTTAAATTAGTAATAGAAACAGGATTGGGCAGCCTAAGAGTTGGGCAAGCTCAAGCTTTTGAAGGTGGAGAAATAAAGTGCCTACTGAAACCCCAGCTCTAGGAATGAGCAACTCTGGGTTTCTTTAACAAGCTACTAGGTCAATAAGTTATCAACAATTCATTTATTTATACACATTGGTTCCAAACATCTACATTCCAACCCCTCCCCCACAAATCCCCCGTACATTTTCAGAGTGGTTGATTAATCTCCCAGCTGTTGATGGGTTCAGGCAAAACAGACCTAAAAGATAGAGAAAAACAATAAAACAAAATAATGGTTACTAGCTGGAAAATGCACTTCGGGAAAGACTCTTTCTAATTGTCTGGTCCAGTCATTCTAGGGTACTCCCCCCCACATCCAGGGTCAGAAAAATCAATATTTCATTCTTAAATCTGTTTACATTGCTAATAATGGATCATTAAAGCTTTGAAGTCAGGTTAGCAAGTTGAGATTTAAAATGAAGTGCTTCTGCACCCTAGGTTATAAAGTAACCCAGTTAGGAAAAGAAAGAGAAAAAGCACTTTAAATGAAATATCAATAAAATATGACCTAGGGTGTGTTTTGGGGCTGTTCTTTTTTTTTTCCAGTTTTTATGTCTCCCCATGTTTATTTTTCCCTTTCTGTGCTCTTCTATGGGCTACTTACCGTGAGAAAGCGCAGCAACACGTGTGTGTTGGGCCGGTTGATTTAAGAACCCTGCTCTTAACAGCAAAGGCTTGGAAGTTAGAATAAAATCGTGATCTTTCCTCATGGGTTTGCTCCCTACTTTCTGTCACCTCTTCACCCGCTAAATCCCAGCAGTAGTAGCAGCAGCAGCAGCAGCAGCAGCAGCAGCAGCAGCGGCCTGTGGCGTTTGTGGCAGGCTTCCGGACCTAGGCTCAGGCTTAGCGCCGAGCAAGGCGTCCGGGCTGCGGCCAGGGCTGCGCCGCTCCTGGATGCGATTCGTCCTAAGCTCATAAATCAAACGCTTTCTATGAATGAGAATGTCATCAAAGAGATCAATTGCAGGAACACATGCACAAATAAAAATCCTCTTACGTATTTGCCGGGGATCCCCGTCCGAAAGCATTAAGTTAGAAGGCGTTCAGTCATAATTCATTTTTATTGCTCTTTTAAAACAACAGCTTGGCTGAGCCGCGGATGCCATGAGCGGCTCCGGGGCCTGGGCGGCGTTTTGTCTCCTCCTCGCTCTTTCTCTTTCTAGAAGAGCCCCGAAAGAGGCGTTTTGAGCAGAGCCAGATATTTGCAGGGGATTATTTTAATCGTAACCAAGCTCGCCTTTCACCCACTCTCCTGAGGCATTTAAAGAGATTTTAGCTGAGTCCTGGGTCGCTGGCCTACATGCCCAGAGGACCAAGGGTCTCTTATACAGCAGAATGGCTCCCACGATTCCTGGGGGTGGGGTAGGGGTGGTGTGGAGGCTGGGGAAGGATCCGAGCTACCGAAGCCTAGCCTATGGGCTGGATGCCGCGGGAGGCTGCCTTTGTGAGCCACTCCAGGAGAGCGGCACTTGGGGGGGACCAGCCGAGGCAGAGCCGGCCTGCGGGAGCTGGAGCAGTGCGAAGAGGTGGGATGGTAGTTGGCCTGTATGTATGCAGGCTTGTGTGGCAGTGCAAATTTGTGATCCAAAGGAAAACACCCCATGCAGGTTCCCCTGAAAACAGGCCAGGAGAAAGAGAGGTGGAGGGAGAGAAAAGACAGCGGCTGGGGCTGAAGGCGGCTTTGTGCAGGCGAACTACAACCGGYTGGGAGGATATTGCAAACCAGAGCGGAGGAAGCCCACAAAGGTATAGGAAGGAGGCAAGCGGGCAGAGAGCCTGGATCTCCCTCACTGCCAGCACTGACCCTCTTACATCCTGTCCCCTGCCCAACAAGACCCCCTTGTTTCCCCAACCCTGGTGATCCCAAGGAGGCTATCTCCAAGAGGGTCCCCTTGTCTATCCCATTCTGCAGGATGAGGATCCCTAGGAGCTGAAATTGGGGTAGGGGGAACTTTCCGAGCTCTTCCTCTTTCCATGCTTGGGGTGGGTCAAAGGTCATAGGCAAATACCGTTCCAAAAGGAAATGTTTGGGGAAAATGTTTCATTGCTACTGAGGGAGTTCAGAGTAAAAGGTCTACAGAAATTTCCCCTCTTGTGGGGACAGGTTTTTGGAGAACTTCTTTATGAGAACTGAACACAGATATATGTAAGGATGACTAACACATTTGAAATGTGCCTGCCTAGAGAAAAACTTCCTTTCTTTTAATGTAGAAAAGGAGGGCATGGGAACCCCAAACCCACCTATAATCCTCACTATTAATTTCATCTCTCCGATCCAATGTCACAAACATGTCAAAGTAAAATCTATGCAGCTTTGGTTGTAAAGCTTCTTAGATGATCTCTGGACTTCTGCTTAAGAATGCATCAGTTTTCAGTCTCTGCTTGGCCTTTTTTCTCCACAAGCCCGAGGTTGACATGAAACCTAATAGTAAACAGCAATTAACTACCCCAGCAGTATCAATATAGGACTAGAGTGAGGGAGACCAGGACCCCTGGCCTGGGGTGACGAACGCATCTCTCTATGGAAAGACTTGAAAGTTCACTCAAGCAACTATACAGTCCGTTGGAAAGGGGAGGAGATGTTGGGGAAGAGGGAACTGTCCCATTCACCCTCAGCCATCTGTCCACTGCCTCTCCCACCTGCCAGCCCCGACCTCCACTCCAGACGTGCAGTAGATGGGGTGCAATGGAAAGTGGAGGCAGTCCTAACATCCCCCTCCAGAAAAAGAAACAGGGAGAGTTCGGAATGTTTGTAGGAATTGCGTTCCGGCCTTCCGAGCGCTAGAGATTGCACGCAGGCTCCCAAGTCCTTAAGAGCCAGCAGATGGCCTGCAGCTCAAGGCCCGGCCCCCACGCTGGCCACGTTTGATAGCGTCATCCCCCTCCCCCTTCTCCTACCCCCTCAAACTCCAGCAGTGGAGTTGCTTCGGATCTCAGAGGGCTCCCCTAGCAAAGCTGAGTGGGGAGGAGAAAGGGGCGGAGAGAGCAAGGAAAGAGGGAGGGCAGAGAAGAGCCCAGCAACCCCGGCCTTTTCCAGCAAGCTTGGTTTCAAGGGCTCAGTCGTCCCTGGGGATCGAATTACAGAGGCTCCTCATGGTCATGCTAATGACGAGCGGGGTTTGGAAAAGAAGGCTGGGGAGACCCTCGTTGGAGGAGGGAAGTTTCTTTTCTTGCTCTCATACCTTCCATTCCCACCCGGGTTCCCCGCAGTCAGTTCTTGGCGCACTACCTTCTCCATTCCGAGCTTGGAGAGCTAGTGGCCTAGCCTCGCCCTCCTCCAGCGTTTTTCGAGCTCCTTACGGCCCCACGGCCTCACAGCCCAGATTGTATGGTGGAATTACCCTGGGACACGGGCGCGGTTACGACTGGATTCCCACCCTTCCTGCTCCGCGCTCTCGGGACTGGGCCGAGGTATTTGCGGCCACCCAGCGAGCTCTAGCCCACGGATTCCCACCCCAGGGGAGCCAGGAGCCCTCTTCCCTTCTCACCTCTTGCCAGTTCATCTTTCWGAGCGTGGTGGGGAGGGGGCGGAGGCGGGGGATGCCTCCCAGCTCCCACCTCCTGGGGGGAGGGGGGCGCGCAGAAGGCAGCCTCTGCTCCCTTCGCCCCAGCGCTCGGAATCTGTCGTTGCAGCCGCTGCAGCTGCTGCGGCCGCCTGGGCTGCCTGGGGGGGCTGCTGCGCGTCACCTAGACAGAGGAGCGCCGGGGATTTAAATGCCACTGAAACGGTGATCCATCACCGCCGGAGCCGGCAAACTTTAGCAGGAGGCTTAGCCATTGGCTGGAGAAATCACGTGCCCATCCCTAGAGCCCTCCGCCCTCTAGCCCCCCCTCGTGCGCACTGTACATTCATATCATTTTTCTTCTCCGGCCCCATGGAGGAAGTGAGAAAGTTGGCACGATCACCCAGGGCTTCGCAGGACCCRGTCGCTCAGTGACAGATGGACAATGCAAGAATGAGCTCCTTCCTGGAATACCCTATACTTAGCAGTGGTGATTCGGGGACTTGCTCAGCGCGAGCCTACCCCTCCGATCATGGGATTACAACTTTCCAGTCGTGTGCGGTCAGTGCCAACAGCTGCAGCAGCGACGACCGCTTTCTTGTGGGCAGGGGTGTGCAGATCAGCTCGCCACACCACCATCACCACCACCACCACCACCACCACCACCCCCAGCCGGCCACTTACCAGACTTCTGGGAACCTGGGGGTGTCCTACTCCCACTCGGGTTGTGGTCCAAGCTATGGCGCGCAGAACTTCGGTGCGCCTTACGGCCCCTATGGGTTAAATCAGGAAGCAGACGTAAGTGGTGGGTACTCCCCGTGCGCTTCCGCTGTTTACTCTGGAAATCTCTCATCTCCCATGGTCCAGCATCACCACCACCACCAGGGTTATGCTGGGGGCACGGTGGGCTCGCCTCAGTACATTCACCACTCATATGGACAAGAGCACCAGAGCCTGACCCTGGCTACGTATAATAACTCCTTGTCCCCTCTCCACGCCAGCCACCAAGAAGCCTGTCGCTCCCCTGCGTCGGAGACGTCTTCTCCAGCGCAGACCTTTGACTGGATGAAAGTCAAAAGAAATCCTCCCAAAACAGGTCAGTCCTGCCGACAAGTGGATGAGTCTTGATGAGCTGGTTCACTTAGTTTCCGAAGAAATTTAATAATGATATTTTAGAAAGCTTCTTGCTTTCSACTCGCGCTGTAGGGTGTGGGAAGAGTGTACCAGGTGTGTTGGGGCAAAGGCATCTTTCGTACTGATGTGTTTTCAAATGGGCTGAGGTTGATTTAAGTGTTCGGGAAGTAGGAAGCGTGTGTGTGCATGTGTGTGTTGGGGGTGGGGGAGTGTTGGTGGTGATGGTGTTGTTAATATCTCCAGACTTCATTAATCATGGGTCTGACCAAGCTAATGGCTGACTTCAGGTTAACATTTTACACCTCATCATTCACACTCCTCAGCTGGGTTTGTGTGGAGAAGTTCTTGATCTACCCCTGAGTGTTGCTCTGAAGCGTGTAGAGGATCTCTTATCAATTTTAGAAATTTTACCTTTTCCTCTAATGGATTCCTACTTTACCTCAGGGAAAGTTGGAGAGTATGGCTACGTGGGTCAACCCAACGCAGTGCGCACCAACTTCACCACCAAGCAGCTCACGGAGCTGGAGAAGGAATTCCACTTCAACAAGTACCTGACGCGTGCCCGCAGGGTGGAGATCGCCGCTTCTCTGCAGCTCAATGAGACCCAGGTGAAGATCTGGTTTCAGAATCGCCGAATGAAGCAGAAGAAACGTGAAAAGGAAGGGCTGTTGCCCATCTCTCCTGCTACCCCACCTGGAAGCGACGAAAAGACGGAGGAATCCTCGGAAAAGTCCAGCTCCTCACCCTGCGTTCCTTCTCCGGGGTCTTCTACCTCAGACACTCTGACTACCTCCCACTGAAGGCCACCCTCGCCCCTAACTCCACAGCCCAGACTTCTCCTGGGGCTGGGATTTCTTACCCAAAGCACATTCTTAGCTTATCTTCCTTTCCACTTACTGTCTCTCTTTCTGATCCTATCTGGGGAGCTCCTGGCCAGGAGAATGTGTTTCCAGAAAACTCTAGACCAGAAACTTGCTGAGAGGTTAACTCCTTAGTCCTGATTTGGTGCCAGCATTAATTTCTTGCATTCCTCCCTGATTTTAAGAGATTTTCATAGAAACAACTGTTTCTTTCAGTTGCCCTTTGGAAACTAGGGTCTCCTTGCCTGCAGAAACATGCCAGAGGGAGGCATTTCACCTCTTGTCTAACTGTGTATTTWCAGTTCTCCCCTACCTTGCCCTTAAAAGTAGAATCTAGAGGAAGGGTRTCCAGGAGCTCATGATGAAGACATGCACTATGAGTGTGTTTACACAATTAATCCATCCCTTAATTTAATTCAGTTTCATGTGTGTGAGTTTTCTGGTTGTAAATACTTTGTCTTGAGAGATTTATCTTTATACAAATTTTCTAGAAATGTTTAGAATTAGGTGACTAAATCAGACAGGGTGGGCAAACTCTCAAAAGGGGTACAATTTTTTATGTGATTATAGGTGAAGAATAAATTCCCTCATTTAAATCCAATCAGATGCCTCAGAAGTTAGTCTCAATTTGTTCCTTTAGTGAGTTAAGAAGGCCTGTAGGGCACAAGGCTCAGAAACCTTGGCTTCCTGTGCTAAGTCTCTCCCCAACCCTACCCCTTTCTTCTCATTCTTCTGGCCAACCCGCCAATTAAAATTTGTGCTGGATTATTCGGAACCTAAAGGTATTGCTCAAATCAACTTCTTCCTTCCACAGTTACTTTAGCTGGATATGATGTATTTTCAGCTGAATTGTTAATGTGATGGATGGCACAATGAATGTATATTTTGTGTGATTCGTGAATAGTCTTTTGCATGTCGCACAATGTTTTGATGTCCCTGAAGTACCATACTGAGTTCTATCAGTTATTCTTTGTGAGCCTACAATATTCCCCATTTCCTGTACAATCATGAACAGCTCTGAGATCCTGGAGTGATATGATCCAGAGCAGAGTTTACGGGTCTTAAGATGTCTGTAATAAATATATTCAAGTTTCAGGTWTGCTTAAGCATATGTGTCTCACAGGGCTACAATTTGTTGCTTCCTACGAAGTTGACTCATTTCATGTGGGAATAAAAGAAGGGTGGTGTGGATTTTCAAAGAAATGGGCCTTTTCTTAAATAAAAGTGAGTGCTTTTCATTATCATGTAGCTGAAGCTTGCCCTATGAGTGTAATTTCACTTAATCAATSTCTATTTGATACCTTGAGTCTCTTCAAAGTAACAGCAGCTCTTTTATTATAATCAGAGTTCATAATGGGAAAAAAGAATGGTGAAGAAATTTATGAAGCAGATCTATTTTTGAAACAAACATGGATACTTCCTGGGTCAAGTGCTAACCTTTTCACCTCCAACTGAACATTGACATATATATAAACAGAGCCCCCTTCAAAAGCTGAAACTGTCTTCAGTCAGTCTTTCCTCACATCAGTGAACCAAGAGGGAAGAGATTCATATTTAATTAGCTCTGGTATAAAGCTGCTGTGAAAATGGGGCCCACCCCATCCCTCTTCCTCCTTTCTGATTGTCAGGCAGTGTTTCAATATATTTCACCCATTTAATTGAGTGTGGTATGTTTTCAGTAAACCCTTGCTCCCTCCCCTCATTCTTCCTGTCAACATCTATCCTTCCTGGCTCACCCCCATCTCTGGGTTGCACATCTCATTTCCTTCAGACTCAGCTTTGAGTTCATATCCATCTTGGCWGTAAAGAGTCCACGCCACATAACCCAGAAAACAATATTTATTTTTTTTCCTCTGGGCTCAACAGTTTCTTCTACTGAACTTGTGAAAGCCACTCTGAAGTCTTGCCATATTGAAGTTACTTCTGACCAAGTCATGAATTGACCTCAAACAGAGAAAGCCAGCAAGCTAGAGTTCAAAGTGGCAATCCTCCTAGACTTCTTGCCACTTTTCCTTACTTTCACACATTTTTGGAGGCTTTAATTGAGTCCCAAGAGCAGAACAGAACATTTACAGCATTACAAACAAATACAGACACATCACTTCCTTCCTCCTCAAAGGATGTTTTAAAAGGATGGGCTGAGGAGAAAACCCTACAAATATCTGAAATTTGCAGGCCTCTAGAGCACCCTTGAGATTTCCTGCACTTTCTTGCTAAAGGGGGAAAGCCTGGACTTCGAAGGCACAGTTGCTGCGGCCACATCAAGGGCACCGGGTGCCTTTCCTCAGCTGCTGGGTTCTGAGGCTGCCTCTAAAAAGATTCAAGTGGACGAAGGAGAACTTCAAAGACAGCCTTTCTTTCATTTCCCGCCTAGCCTTGTACTGTATCTTTTGTTTATTAGTGTAAGGCCACMCAGCAAAACAGATGGCTGGTTTCCAAATACTTTAATGTGTTAAGTTTCATTTGCATGCAAGTGTCTTGATTTCAATATCTAAAGGCAGGGCTGGACCCACTGAAATCCAGAGATTCCAATCTTCAAGGTGCTGGTTTTAACGTAGCCCAGAGAGAGGAGAACGATAAATTATGGCTAAACATCTCTAGCCTTCTCTAGGTCGTGGAATAAATCAGTTAACAAGCAATGCATTTAGGAAACATTAATACACCTTTCAACAAGGAAAACATTTGTATCTTTTTAGCTGTCCCAATCGTTTAAATCAAAGGCGCTTAACACATTCTATTTCAAGGTCTCTCTTTTTCTGTTTTGGTCTCTGAGGAGTGCAGTTAGATTCTTGAAAAATGACAGCAATTCTAACTGAAATGACAGAAAGAGGGAAACAGAAAATAACATTATATCGACATGTTTGAAAAGAAAACAAGGGTCTCGGTTAAGGACCCAGGATAACTGCAATATAAAATTCATTTTCAAATGCTTTATTTTCCACCTCCTTGACATTCATCCAAAGTACTCCTGAAATTCAGGGTGTCTCCATACTAGGCTGAATGGAGGTCTTGCTGTGACTCTGAAGTCTGCTCTGGGCTTCACCTTTGAAAGTTTACTTTTGGAGGCTATTCAGATGCGGTGGTGTTTTCCTCTGGGGCAATCAGATTCAAACCGATCAATATTTACTCAGTCTGAAAGGGTTGTTGAAAAGGCTGCTAACAACAAACTGCTTAGCTGCTCACCCCTGTTTAATCTCAGGTTCACCGAAAGTTCAAGAAGAGATGAATGCAGTGATGGGTCACTTTAGAATGAGTCCCAGCGGTTTATCTGAGCTCTCAGCTAAAGGCAACAATTATAGTTCCATCCCTTTTTGGGAAAGGGGCAACTTTCCTATTATTCTTTTGCTAAACAATGTTTACTAGAAACTTAAAACACTTTCCTCTTCCCTCCTGTTTTTTTTTTTTTCCTTCTTTTTTTTTTTTGAAACTTCCAGCTGCCCTTCCTCTGCCTCCTCCTCTGGTGTTCTACCACTCCGCTAGATTTCATTCACCTTAAAATAAATTACATCAAATATTTTAAAAACACTGAATTAGTCTGATAGAAGAGATCTGATTTATTTCAGATGCCACAACTATGAAATGAAATGCTTTGGGCCATTAGAGTTTATCTTTTTGAAAGTAGAAGGCAAGATTGAACTGAAATCCATTTGCGTTTGAGTAATATCGGCAATCAGAGCCCCAATATCCATCTGAAATGGCCACTCAGACCAGAGTGGCAGGGAATTAGCTTGTACAGAAACAAATACTTCAGGTAGAAAGTTAACTTTAAAAATTTACATCCTCCGAGGGCATGAAACTACTTAGAGATGAAAAAGGGAGATCCAAGAAAGGCAGTGGGGAATGGTGGGTAGAAGATGCTGGACACTGAAGCTAATTGCTACAGCTTTTCAGAGGTCAGAGTTCATGTAATCACTGCATAAATGCATACTAAATAGGGATTCATTAAGCTTTCCTGATGGCTAAGCACGTCTGTGAAAAATCGTCACTGCTGTTTGTTTCTTCCTTAAGAATAACCATTCTTGAAGTAGAAGCTCTAGATGGTTGAGTCTAATTTGCTATTTGGAGAGACAGGCAACAYTTCTGTTGTAAAATTTTGAAATCAGTGCACGGACAGCATCTATCTTTATATAGGATGGGACTGTAATATCCCTCTCTTAGAAATGCGCTGGCTTTTTCAATACAAATAGGAATACAAATTAGCATGCTCTGATCAGATAAGCAACTCACTGGATGGCTAACTGTGCTGACTCTCTGCCATAGATAAGCCTACTACATACCTGCATTTCTGAGAGCATACAAAAGCTCTGCCTTAGAACTCCTGTGCCTAGATGACTAGAATTGAGTGGGACCTCTACCCTACCCCACATTTTATGGGTCAGGAAAAGGTWCCCAGAGTTGGATTGATTTCATTGAGAGTACATAGTCAATAATCGGTACTTACTTCCTAAATAAAAATCRGGGTAGCTTAGAACCTGAGTCCAAGGCACTTTTTAATTCTAAAATTGAGCTTTAATTTTGCCTCTTCCTTTCCCATTTATTCTGTGGGATTTGTTTCAGACTGGGTATTGCTTACTTTATTTCTTACATCTGTTTTATGGGCCAGCTACTCAATTTTGAGACCATCAGGACTATTGAATCTTTGAAACAAGCTCTAAGTGTTCTACCATTTTGCTTGTATAGTCAAATGTTGGGCTACTTGCCCAAATATAAAGACACATTTTTTTTTTTTTAAGACAGGGTTTCAGTACTTTGCTGAGACTAGCCTCAAACTTGTGATCTTCCCACCTCAGCCTCCCTAGTAGCTGGGATTATAGGCATGTGCCACAGTGAACACCAAGACATACATTCTTAAAATGTAAAAGCAGAGCAGGTAAAATTCCATATACACACATATATTTATTTTGTTTTAAAACCTAAGCTTGGGAGCAGTAAACAAAAGAGGAGTCTCTTACACTCAAGTTTGATCTCCATTAAGTTGTCAAGAGGTTATCACCTAGAAAAGGCTTTAAAATACAAGGGACATGGGTGAGGGTTCCTAACCCTGATTTTTTTTTTTTTTTTTTTGTGTGTGTGTGTGTGTTGATGGAGATCATGTTATGCAAGTGCTCTACCAAGTCCCACATCCCCAATTCCCCGGAATATTTGTTATTTGTTTGTGTTTTATTTCGGGGGGGGGGTCTGGTTTGCCCCCTGTATTGTTTGATTCACATCTATTACTTTTCTCCATGATTCACCATGTACCTAACACACACACACACACACACACACACACACACACACACTCCAAGTCCAAATCGTTAACATAAAGTTTTCTCACAACACATTTTTCTACATCCTCCTTCATCTCATCCCCATGGAATAATCTCAGGGGAACCTGTTGCTCAAAGGACCTCAGTGGCTGTGTTTGAAGAGCTGAACTGGAATCTTCAGGATTTGTGTCTTATTTTTAATAACAAGAGTCATTAAATATACCTGACCTTCGGATGCAGAACTGCAAACCAAATATCAATCAAGCAACTCTGTTTTGAAGGTGTTARCCTTTAAACCCTGTTGCTTTTGTTGGAGGGTGAGAGGAAGGGGAAGGGAGAGGAAGAGCAATCCCAAACCTGTAAAATATCATTGAAAGATTGCATTTCGAGTTTATTGGAAAATAAAGAGACCAATGTTTCCTTTTCAAGATATTCTCAGGCATAACTAAAACGTTTCCATTTTTTAAACAGCCTATTAAATTTTACTCATTAAAAACGTGCTGAGGGCTGGGGTTGTGGCTCAGTGGTAGAGCTCTCCCCTAGCACTTGCGAGGCCTTGGATTCGATCCTCAGCACCGCATAAAAATAAATAAATAAAATAAATAAACGTATTGTATCCAACTACAACTACATTTTTTTTTAAATGTGCTGATAAAAGGTTCAGTCACGAGGCTCATCTACAGAAATCAGATTGTTTTGTCTTTTCATTTTAGGSGTGTGCGGTTAATTGGTTAGAGAAAATAGGAAACTGCTTGCAACCGATAATGAAAAATCATTGAACTTTTTCACACTGGGATTTTTTTTTTTTTAATTAAAGACGCACTAGGCGTTTTACA